ATAGGGTGGAAATGCAGGGGAAGATTCAGAGTTGTAGATCCTGAATAAAAGGAAATGCTTCCCTGCAGATGTGAGTAAGGCACAGGTGCAGGGTAACATGGCCAAGAGCATTATCCTGATTAAACTTTTGTATTTCTCTTAAGGGAAATACAACCTATGTCTGCCCTTTTTTTTTAGCATGAGGAAGGCACTTGATGCTCAAAATGCTTGTCCAACAGTTCTCTCAACTCTACAGCCAATCCAATAAAAATATCACAAAAAAGCCTTGCTTTCAGACATTTCCTGAACCAACGTGGCTACAGAAACACTCCGACCCTTTATTCCCCTTAAGAAAGTAACATGAAAAATGAGCTAATAATAATTCACTGTATAATTGAGGCTTCTCTACAACTTTTGAGCTCCTTATAGGACAGTGGTAACAGAACATAAATTGAAGTAAGAATTCGAACACGGAGCAAATCAACTATAGTTCAGGTTTAAAAATGGAACACGCAACTCTTTGTATTTACCCCAAATACACGACTTGGCAGCAGAAACCCACATGAAACAGGAAACTTACAGTGAAAAGGGAAAATAAGCCTAGAGTCCTGTCTGAAAGAAGGCTGTAGCCGTATGTACTCTGCTTTGGCCAGCAGCACGTTTCAAAGCCCTCTGGGGAACAAAGCCCTGGGACTCATTATTCTCTCAAGACAGTGGTTCGGACATCAGCACAGCTTCCTAGAGTAAAAAGGCCAGAAGAGATGACTGTCTCATCTAGTCCGAGCTCCTGTACAACACAGGCAACTCTGTTTTAAGCCCAATAACTTGTTTGGTTAAAGTGCATCCCCCCAGGAAGAAAGCCTTGAAGTGAAGATACAAAGAGATGGAGAATCCACCACTTCCTTTGGTACTCTGCTGCGTGTCCAAACACCCTCACTTGAAAAAAAAAACCCAACACACCGTTATCACCTGCACCTACTTCCAATTTGAATTTGCCTTATTTTCCAGCCTTTAATTCCCATCATGCTTTTCTCTGCTAGACTAAAGAGCCCTCTAGTACCCAGTACTCCTCCTCATTAAAGTACTTAGACACTAATCAAGTCACTTCTCCATCTTCTTTTCGATAAAATGAACAGATCGAGCTCTTTAAGTCTTTCAGTTTAAGGCATTTTCTCCAGCCTTTTCTAATCATATGTACGGCTCTTCTCTATATCTTTTTCAGTATCAGTAAAACTTGTAATCTTAAAGAATGAAATCATATTTGTTTCCTGAAAATCACATTGACTATCATTAACTGTATTGCCATTACTCATTACAATATTGGTCAAATCCCTTATCAGCTTTCCATTATTTTGCCAAGACATGACATGAGGCAGTTCCCCCTAGTCATCCCGCTCGCTGTACCTAATTATTGCTATGTGAGGACCCTTCCAGCCTTCTGAAATGTTCCTGATATTCCATGATTTATTAAGCATTAATACCAGCAGGCCACAGATCTTCTAAACTAACTTTTTCCAGATTCCTGGCCCACGTTTTCAGGGCTAGCTTATTTAAAAGTGTTTATTCCTAACAGACGATGTTTAACATCCTTAGCTACTAATGGACTGGAAAGCATTTCATCAGCCTCATGTGTTGCTGGTACCTTACCCTTCTTCTTTCCACACGCAGAACAAAAATTTACCAAACACTTCTGTCTTTTTTGCCTTGTATGAACAATTTTACCATCTTATCTGATAAAAGGCCCATGCCATTGCTAAAATGTCATTTATCCCTAAGATTCTCAAACTCCCCTTGGCCCTGACAGCCACAGAGCTTCCCTAATGCCTTTAAATTCCTGTATCAATTTTCTACACTGCAGAACTTTTAACTTGTTATATATTGCTTTTGTATTCTAACTACTGCTTTCCTGTCTTTGCACAGTGCATAATTAACTCATTAACACAAGATGTTGTAGAGGCTGAACATTTAACCAAGTTCAAAAGAGGAATGGACAAATTCATGCACAAGAAGCCCATCAGTGGGTATTAAACATGACAGTAGGGCTGCAGCCTCCAAATTAGGATGCCTTATGCCTTTATATGCTAGAAGCTGCAAAGGAAGAGGAGCAGGGGACAAATCAGTTTGGACAGGACCTACATACATATCCTTCCCTTTAGCACCTGCTTTGTGCTAGTGCAAGATACAGAATGCTGGGCTAGATGGCCCTGCAGTCTGAGCCAGTTATGGCATCTCTGATGTTCTTAAAGCTTTTAGCTAGTTATCTTCTTTCCAAAATGAAGACGTGTGGCTTTTTGGCCAGCAAATAAATTCTTAAAGAATTGCCAATATTCATTTACAATCTCTGCAATAAGCAGTAGGGCAATGAAAAGTCTCAAGCATCACAGCAGGTTGTCATTAAAGACTAACATTAAAGAAATGCATGTGCTTGCTGATAGTAAATGCTGCAGGCTACAGCATGCAGATGTGCAAATACAGCTACTGTTAAAAAAGGAGAGAAAGAAAGTTCAAGCAGCAATGCTGAATTAAGTCAATAATTAGAGGGTTTTTTGGTCACCTTGCTACTGTAGATAGCACACAAGCTAATGACAACACTGCAGGGAGAATTAGCCCAGAAGGAGAAGTCTGCTGGCTCCTTCTCAACTAGTTTGACTTCAATAATAGTAACAGCCACTATAAGCTTCAGGCAAGAAAGACTGAATCCAAATGAAGTTAAGTCACCAGCTGCAGGCTGCCATGCCTCTAATAAAGACACTAAGAAGAATGGGGTTAGCAAAATGAAGTCTGGTTTTGTTTTATATTATTTAAAATAGCTTCATGGTAGAGAGGACAATCCAAAGGATGAAGTGCATTGATAGTGCATATACCGTGCTGAACATACTGAGGAGCTAAAATAGCAAAATACATGGATGGACATTCTAGACTTCCCTACCACCAGACAACACAGACCACAGATAACCCTGGAAACACCTGCAGGCCCTTTTTTTAGGCATCACTAGTACCAAAAACTGAGGACTAAATATGCCTCAGGGACAACTCTGAAACCTGCTGCCTCCAGTGGGCTGCATATCTATATCGGACTGGGTTTTTGGTTGTGGCTGTGTTGGTCTAAGGACATAGGCAGGCAAGGTTCTTTGGGTAGATGTGATATCTTTTATTAGCCCAACTGAGTTTGTCTAATGAAAGATATCACATCTACCCAAAGAACCTTGCCTGTCTATAGCTGACTGGAATTTTGTATGCAATTCTGTGATATATAAGGGAAAAATGAATCAAATTCAATTGCTTTTGGACTCTGTCTTTACTGCTGTTAACCTTCTCTACTTTGGGAATATAGTGCAAACAAGGCATGCACAGACTGTAAACTTCAGCACTAGTATAAATTACTTGAATCTGACAAAGAAGTGCTCCAGAAAAAAGTCAGCATTAAACTACACTGGTTTAAGTGTCATACGTCTACCATTGCCTGGGGTCAGCCACTTATTACAGGCAAACAGGCCCTTAGGTAGCTAAGGCTTTGTCTGCTCTGATTCCCAGCGTAACTTACTCTGGTGTGCAAAACGGATGTGAAACACAACAGTATAAATGTGTCCTGTGTCCAGGCATTTCATGTGGCTCAAGTGAGTCTGATTGCATTTTTCAATAATAATCCAGCTACTCAGACAGACTGGATTAGGGCCACCAATTGATTACATTAGCAGAGCTGAGCAATGCTGATAACCTGAGCTGAGGGGCCAAACAGCTTATATTGAAAGAACCATCAGGCTTAAAGCAAGGAGATGTATGTGGATTGGACTCAAGTTGGAAAAAACACCTGAGCTATGGTTTAGGTTAACTTTGCAGTGATGAAACTCTGTATGGAGCTGGCACTGCAGGTCCAGAGTAGAGAAGCAGGAAAAGAAAATGAATCCTAGTTTTGTCACTGATATCAGAAGATATGACTATAAAGGAGGAATAAGATGCAAAGACAGCATTTGTACAAACACATTACAACTTTGCAGAATTGCAGCTGATCTTTAACTAAACCATGGTAGCATTTATTTTTAAAGATAACATGAATAAAATGATTACCAAGCTACTTGCAATTTTGTTCTAACAATTCTGAAAACATGTTTTGACAAAGGTGTTTAAAAAACCTGGAGCATCTTTGCACAGGCACACAATACAGTCAACAATTACTTACAAGCAAATTTTTGAATACTTTAGGTGCATTTGTAAGAAATTCTGCTTGAAGCAGAACATGGGTCTATAATGGAAAAGTCCTTTGATTCTAACTCAAAAGTCAGCCTTTTTATTGTTCTCTCAGTAAGATATAAAGGTTCAATCCCTGTTGAATAATACGTATTTCATGAAAAAGTGTAATGCAACTAAAATGTATTGTACAACACCGAAGAACTCATACCTGCTTTACCACTGTAACGGTTCCAGGCGCCATGGTAACCACAGAAGCAACTGCAGCGGCATCGTGGGTCTCTGAACCCAACTCAATGATTTGCTGAAGGATGTTTACAGCAGTGGGGTCAAGTCTTTCACCTTACAGAAAAGCAATGAACACAAGACAAATTATAGCCAAGACCATTCTAAAGGTAAAGAAATCAAAATGCTCCAAGCATTCTTGTCCCTCTTGTGTCCACTCCACTTGTAAACCTCTTGCTATAATTTCTAACAGCTCAGTAACATCCTTTTAATTGTGGTTCCCAGGGACAAAGTATTCAGAAAATACATCTCCTGGGGAAGATGATAACTGCAATGAAGCTGCATTGTTCATTTTTACTCCTATTTGAAGACGATCTGAAAGAATGTAGTGATGAAACAAACAAAAGGCAGAACTTGGAGCACTAAGCGTAAATCATGAAGCTGTAAGGCTTTATAACTCCAAGTATGGATTTGCTGCAGATTTAGTTTTAACAGCATCTGAACTCTTAAACTTGTAATCAGGACAGCTATTCAGTATGCTCTTGGTCTGACATTACAATCTGTTTGACCTTCTGTGGTTCCCCTTAACCCAGAACAGCTACTCTTGTCAGTAAAGTGTTAAAGGGGAAATGAAGACTTTGCATGATCACACCCATTCCTCTATCTGTATACCACATCAATGCATCTGCCACACTTTTCATCCATGCAAGGTGTGCAGCTCAGCCAGAGGAAGTCATAGTTTACAAAAAAAATAGGGCCACACTCAGGCTGCATACAAATGTTTGCTGCACCCGGTCTAAAATCACACAGCTTACTTTAAGCCATGTGATTAGTCCGGGAGTGGTGTGTACAGGTTCGCCAGTGCCGGAAGCCATCTGGGAACTCAGTGCAAGTAACCTGGGGTAGAGAGGAAGAGCAGGTAGCACTGGGGGACTAGGAGGTACATGTGAGAGGTCCAGGTTTGGCGCTGTGGGGACTAGGAGGTACATGTGGGAGGTCCAGGTTTGGTGCTGTGGGGACTGCAGCTTGCACGTTCCTTCCAGTGACGGCCAGGTCAGGGAGTGCCTGCGGTGTGAGCGATGCCTCCTGGTGGTGGGACAGTTCAGGAAGGACAGGCAGGGGAGAAGAGGAGGACAAGTTGCACTTTATGTAAAAGAGCCATATGATGGCTCAGAGCTCCAGTATGAAGCTGGAGATAGGCCTGCTAAGACTCACTGGGCTAGGGTCAGAGGGGAGGGCAATAAGGGTGATGTTGTGGTGGGGGTCTGCTATAGACCACCAGACCAGGAGGAAGTGGTAGATGAGGCTTTCTTCAAACAGCTAGTGGAAGTTTCCTGATCACAGGCCCTGGTTCTCATGGGGGACTTCAATCACCCTGACATCTGCTGGGAGGGCAATACAGCAGTGCACTGGCAAGCCAGGAAGTTTTTGGAGAGTTGGGGACAACTTCCTGGTGCAAGTGCTAGAGCAGCCAACTAGGGGCCGTGCTCTTCTTCACCTGCTGCTCGCAAACAGGGAAGAATTGATAAGGAACGTCGTAGTTGATGGCAACTTGGGCAGCAGTAACCACAAGATTATTGAGTTCAGGATCCTGAGGAAAGGAAGGATGGAGAGCAGCAGAGCAAGGACCCTGGACTTCACAAAAGCGGATTTTGACTCACTCAGGCAACTCGTGGGCAGGATTCCCTGGGAAGCCAGTCCGAAGGGGCAAGGAGTCCAGGAGAGCTGGCTGTACTTTAAAGAAGCCTTACTGAGGGTGCAGGAACAAACCATCCCAATGCACAAGAAGACTAGCAAGCATAGCAGAAGACCAGCTTGGCTTAGCAGGGAACTTTTTAGTTAACTAAATCACAAAAAGGAAGCTTATAAGAAGTAGAAACTTGGACAAAGAACTAGGGAAGAATATAAGAGCATTGCTCAGACATGTAGGGATGAAGTCAGGAAGGCCAAAGCGCAATTGGTGTTGCAGCTAGCAAGGGATATGAAGGGTAACAAGAAGGGTTTCTACAAGTACGTTGGTAGCAAGAGGAGGATCAGGGAAAGTGTGGGTCTCTTTCTGAATGGGGGAGGCAACCTAGTGACAGAGGATGCAGAAAAGGCTGAAGTGCTCAATGCCTTTTTTCTTTCAGTCTTCACAAGTAAGGTCAGCACCCAGACTACTGCACTTGGCAGCACAGTTTGGGGAGGAGGTGAACAGCCCATAGAGGTGAAAGAACAGGTTAGGGAAAAGCCTAGAAAAGCTGGGCATGTACAAGTCCATGGTGTCAGATCGGATGCACCCAAGGGTGCTGAGTGAGTTGACTGATGTGATTGCAGACCCACTGGCCACTATCTTTGAAAAAATCATGATCAGAAGTCCCAGATGATTGCAAAAAGGGCAAACATAGTGCCTATATTTAAGAAAAGGAAAAAGGAGAATCCAGGGAACTACAGACCAGTCAGGCTCATCTCAGTCCCTGGAAAAATCATGGAGCAGATCCTCAAGGAATCCACTTCTAAGTACTTGGAGGAGACAAAGGTGATTAGGACCAGTCAGCATGGATTCACCAGGGGCAAGTCATGCCTGACCAACCCAATTGCCTTCTACAACAAGGTAACTGGCTCTGTGGATGTGGGGAGAGCACTGGACGTGGTGTACCTTGATTTTAGCAAGGCTTTTGATACAGTTTCCCACAATATTCTCCCAGGCAAGCTAAGGAAGTATAGGCTGGATGAAGGGACTGTAAGGTGGATAAAAAACTGGCTAAAGCATCAGGCTCAGAGGATAGCAATCAATGGCTTGATGTCTAGTCGGCAGCCGGTATCAAGTGGAGTGCCCCAGGGGTCGGTCCCGGGGCCGGTTTTGTTCAATGTCTTCATCAATGAGCTGCAAGATGGCATAGAGAGCACCCTCAGCAAGTCTGCAGATGACTCCAATACACTGGAGGATAGGGCTAGGATTCAGCATGGCCTAGACAAATTGGAGGATTGGGCCAAAAGGAATCTCATGAGGTTCAGCAAGGACAAGTGCAAAGTCCTGTGCTTAAAACAGAGCAATCCCACGTACCAGGACAGGCTGGGGGCTGACTGGCTGGGCAACAGCTCTCCAGAAAAGGACCTGGGGGTGACAGTGGACAATAAACTGAACAGGAGCCAGCAGTGTGCCCTTGTTGCCAAGAAGGCTAATGGCATCCTGGGCTGCATTGGTAGGTATGTCGCCAGTAGGTCAAGGGAAGTGATTATCCCCCTCTATTTAGCACTGGTGAGGCCACATCTGGGGTACTGTGTTCAGTTTTGGGTCCCTCCCACTACAGAAAGAATGTGGACAAAGTGGAGAGAGTCCAGATGACGGCAATAATTTAAGTGGTGGCAAATGACACAACAAGGAGTGATAGTCTCGAGTTGCAGCAAGGGAACTTTAGTTTAGATAGTAGGAAGAATTTTCTCAGTAGGAGGGTAGTAAAGCACAGAAACAGGTTACCCAGAGAGGTGATAGAAGCTCCATCCTTGGAAGTTTTCAAAACCCGGCTAAACAAAGCTTTGGCTGGGATGATCTAATTGGAGACGGTCCTGCTTTGAGCAGGGGGGTTAGACTACATGACCTCCTGAGGTCCTTTCCAACCCTAACTTTCTATGAGTCTATGATCCCCTGGAGCAAACAGAAGTTCACTGTTGGGTATGGCGGGAGGGAAATCTAGCTGCTGGCTGGAAGCTTGCAGCCAGTTTCCCCTAGCAATGGTCCCTCCTCTCTCCCAGTCTGTCCCTGTTTCAGAATGGGAGTGAGGAAAGGGAGCAGAAGGAGTTCAGTCTAGGGGTCCCCCAGCCAGTGCTGGAGAGTGGGGCGGGTGTATTGCAGCCCTCCCATCTTGGGGGTGGGGGCTGCAATACACCTGCCCCACCCTGCAGTGGGAGCTGAAAGCCCCCCAGACTGAAGTTATAAACTGCTTTCTGTGGCCAGATTGGGCAAAAATTTTCACTTCTGTATGCACTTCAAATATAACATCTGTATATACCCTCAGTTATACAACAACGTGAAAGAAACAATCAGACCACAACAGGTCAACAAAGAATTCCTTTGCTGTGAGGACCACACACTCCCTATGTGAGTTTTCTATCTGTCCTGATGCTCTCATGCACGCACACACATGTGCGCGCACACAAACACACTCAAAGGAACTGACACACATCAAGACTAAAATGATGTGGCAGGGGTATGTTATGCTAAGTGACAGCCTGCATGTGTTACAGCAGCCCAAAT